CCTGATCTTCGATGTTTGGTGCTGGGTTGTCACATATGTGAGGGTGGGTCAAGCTTGTGAAGCAAGGCATTTTGTGGGAGTTTGCTTCGTTAGGTCGGTCTTACAGGCCTTCTCGCTGGCCGATTTCAGTCCCCACTCCATGTCCTTAAGGAGTTTGGCACGCCTCAATAACTAGCTTAAGTAGACGCTCTCGTCTGTTTCACTTAGAGACGAGGTTAGTAGACGCGGAATCGGTAATGCTTATCAGGACATGAGGTCAAGTCAATTCTAATGTTATTTGAAAACATGCCACGGAGGGCATTATTTTCCTTTCTTTTTCGGTGAAGGTTTCAGTAACTCAGCGAAGCCAGTATTGAAGTGGAAGATTTGGAGGATAAGTGGGCTAAGCTCATGAGAATGCAAGATCCAGGGAGAAGCACCTCAGAGACAGTCTTACGCTTGCATCTCATGTAATCGGCCATGTGTGGTAAAAACAGCGGAACGACGTAGTCCTAAGATGGGTGGGCTATACCAGGTTTTACTGTTTGTTATAGTTCCTCCTACAACGATATCAGGTAAAATCAGGCCAACAGCCAGCTTTCATCATCCGAGTTGTCATCCAAGTCATCTTCACGTCGGATCACGAATACGTTTCGACTATCATTGAGAATATTCTCTAGGTAGTTTGGGATTGTTGTGATGGATTTTCTTATCGGAAAAAGTAAAGGCTAGGTAGTCAGCCCCCATCAGAACGAAAGCCGCCCGATATGTCGGCTGAGAATAGTTCAGATGACCCTTTTTGCCTCCAAGCAGTGCTATGATTCTCTCAGTATCCTGCTTTTCGCCATTCCCAAGTAAATCCCTTATTTCGGCCAACTCTATCTCGACTGCCCTCGGAAGCGCCTGAGAAATAGCTGACTGAGCTACCTTCAAGGCTTCTCTCAGTGACTGACCCGATGCGAGGCTTTCACAGAAGCGTCTCATAAAAATGACTGTAATGTTATCATTTATAGGCCACAAAGTGACTAACACCTCCCTCACGCCAGAAGCAATCAGACTTGTAGCAAATCCTACGGTACCCCCACCACCGGCATAAGACACTCCTCCAGTGTGCTCATGATCCATGCCTGCGTCAGTGAAGTCTTCAATAGAGATGCACTTTCCGTTGGCAACAGATATTTCTGACAGTGTTGAGAACTCCTCCGAAAAGTCGCCGTGAGTGGCTAGATGCAAGATGTCATATTATTGGTGAATGTTAAAGAGAATAGCTTCTTTCGTCGCGTCAGATCCAGTCAGCGCCAAATTAGCGGATTGTAATCTGGCAATGACCTCGGCTTCAATCTCAGCACCCGGGAGTGAGGGAAGAGGTGTTACTCTTCCAGTAATTCGGTCCACATGTGACATCCTCGATGGGTTTCCAATAGCCAATACTTTTCTTTCAACGTTCGAACGATTTCGTGTTTTTAGTGCGTAGTATGAGCTTAGGCTTGGAACGTACGATACGGTACGAGACTGCAAATCCGAGGATACCCATCGCGGTAGATTTCCGTACAAATGTCTTCTCGGGAACCTGTGTGAAGCTTAACTGACTAGAGGCTTCTGCTAGCAATCGACTATCCCACTAACTTCTACTTTGTACTTCTGCACAACTTGCGAGTCGCAATGCTTCACAGAGCTCGAACTTGCCGCTCGCGAAACGTGATAAGTGAAGGTTTCTATTGGAGACTTAATCGAAAGGAAATCAAGATATTGGAGCCCCATTGATTGAAAGATAGGCACGACAGTGTAGGAGATTGCAAACAAAATCTCGACAGAGGAGTCGTCGTAAGGTAGTCGGCGTACAATTTGGAAAGTTGCCCAAATATCTCTTCTAGGTAAGCGCGCAAAGATTATCTGCATCGCAGTGGGCGGAGTAATAGGGCTTCGGTCAAGCTAGCCCCCTAAATCTTGTTAAATGAGACGAGCGATGCTCTCCATGTTTACAGAATTCTGATCTACATATTCAGCTACCTCTCCTTAACCATGCCAACCGCCGTAATACCCTATAGTTCAGTACTACATTTATTGATGTCATTCCAAAGAAGAAGGATCGAAGTCCTCCTTCATGTCAGGCACCCAGCCTTTTGGCCGTTCCGTTCCCCGGATCGCCAAGCCATAGCCCAGCTTCTCTACCTTGCGCACTGACTGTCGCATCACCTCCATTTTGCCCCTGAAGTCTCTTGTCGGAATTTCTGGAAGAATCTCGAAGCAGCTGCTCAGCTCATGGATATCCATCAGAATGTTGCGGCCCTCTATGCCGGCCAGCTGACCCGTCTGGGCAGTGGTCACCGTAGCGAAACGCATCATCTCGCCAAAGAGGTCAAAGAGACCAAACATGTAGTCGTTTTCGGTGATTGAGACGTTGGCTGGGACTGCCGCTGCTGTCTCTTCCTCGCTGATGAGGGTCTGGTTTCGGAGGTAGTGGGAGAAGGAAAGGGCCTCAACGAGCTCCTCTAGGCAGCGGAGAGAGTGGGCATAGCGGTAGCGATTGACGCCTTGGATGTCGTTCTCAATGGCGGCGAGATGCTTCTGAATCTCGCCCATACGCGTTTCGATCTCCTTGTTGGCGAAGTTTGGAAGGTCGCCCAACTTGTTGACTCTGTTCCAGTATTAGTAGATGGCATGAGAACAAGGTGAGATCGGTGGGAGTCACCTTTGGCAGGTGAAAATGCTGCATTCCTGTTAGTCAAGTCCCACCCCAGACGAATGGCTGGATTCTCACATCTTCTTGCTCAACGCGGTGACGTCTCTCGATGCCTTGACAATGCGCTCCCTACGATCGTGGTGCTGGTCTAGCTCATCGCGGAATTTCATGAACATGGGGGTGAATTGAGACTCGGGCGCAGCTGGCTTCGGTTTGGATTCATGAGTCCGCATGTTGCCATCCCGGTCGCGCTTAGACATCCTGAATTACTGCAACAATTAGACGGTGTTGGTGAGATGCGAGGTCGGCAAAAAGTGAGGCCGTCGATGAAGTCAGTGACTCGGAGTGATGTTCCTGTGAGGTCGTGCAGGGTCAGAATTGAATTTAGTGGGGTCGGCAGATGGAGCACCCGGGGTGTGGGCCCAGCACACTCATCTGGGCTTCTGGGTCCAGGGGCTGGCTGGTTTTGCCCACGTCACTCAAATTTCCCATCATGGCAACATGGGGATTTGAAGCTTCAACCCCCGAAACTCACATTCGCTTCAGCGCATCGTTTCTTTCCGGGCATATTCAATGGCTTTCTGGGTAACTCCGCTCGAATAATACCGTCTGATTAGATAGCCGACAATTCTGCGGCGAGACACATCTCACCCGATTCATATTCCAGCATGGCCGGCCTCGACGCGTTCTTCCGGCCCGTGCCGCTCTTCGGCGCCGCCGCGCTCCTCCGTGTGGCGATGCTATACTACGGCCTGTGGCAGGACGCCAACTCCGCCGTCAAGTACACCGATATTGACTATCTGGTCTTCACCGATGCCGCTCGCTTCACTGCTCAAGGGCGCTCACCCTACGATCGCGAAACTTACCGCTACACGCCACTTTTGGCCTGGATGCTTGTGCCTACGGCGTGGCAAGGATGGTTCTCATTCGGCAAGGTCGTTTTCGCGGTCGCTGACTTGCTGGCCGGGTTCTTGATCGTGCGCATTCTCGAGAGACGTGGCGTGGAGATGGGGAGAGCACTGAAGTTTGCCAGTATCTGGCTGCTGAACCCCATGGTCGCAACGATCAGCACCCGTGGGAGCTCGGAGGGACTCCTGGGTGTGTTGGTCATGGCGCTGCTTTGGGCTGTGCTCGAAAGACGGATAACGCTGGCTGGGCTGTTGCTTGGCTTCGGAGTCCACTTCAAGATCTATCCATTCATCTATGCGCCAGCAATTGTGTGGTGGATGGATGAGGAGATGCTCGGCCGAAAGGGGGCAGATCCCGCCCAGACGCAGACTATTGGCGAAGCCTTGGTCAAGTTTGTCAATGCTGAGAGAGTCAAGTTGGCCGCCGTCAGTCTCGCGACCTTCATGGGACTCAACATTGCCATGTATTCTATGTAAGAACCCAAGTGGCGGACTATTCCGGGCAGTGCTAACGGCCTCACAGCTATGGCACGCCATTCTTGGTGCACACCTACTTCCACCACGTCACCAGGATCGACCACAGGCACAACTTCAGCCCTTACAACGTGCTATTGTATTTGACGTCCGCTTTCCCGTCCACAGCTACCATCCGCATTGAATCTATCGCCTTTCTCCCACAGATCCTGCTGTCAACAGTGCTCATTCCGGTCATCTTAGCAAAGAGGGACCTTGCAACTTCGATGATGGCTCAGACCTTTGCTTTCGTGACCTTCAACAAAGTCTGTACAAGCCAGGTAAGAGCAAGCTGCCACTCAGTCGGTCTCACAAGCTGTGGCTAACATTCGAGCAGTATTTCTTGTGGTACATGGTCTTCCTGCCCATTTACCTCCCCGGCTCAACGTTTCTCAAGAACCCGAAGCTCGGGGCGACTGCTTTGGGCCTGTGGATTATGTCCCAGGCTGCTTGGTTACAGCAGGGCTTCAATCTAGAGTTCTTGGGAATTAGCACCTTCTTCCCAGGCTTATTCGCGTCATCCGTAGGATTCTTCCTCGTTAACTGTTGGATTCTGGGCATCATGGTCAGCGATGGCGATTCAACAGCCTTGGTGACAGGCGTCAAAGCCAAGCAATAATATCCGCAAGATGATGTAGATGTTGTAAGGAGACGAAGATCTAGTAACATTAAAGATCCCATCACATTGTGAACCAGACTTGATACACGCGTAACCTTGGTCTATTGGTGAATGTTGTCGAGCCTTGATCCACACCTATTGAGCCAAATTTCTTCTAAGCCAATTCACAATCCTTTGGGTTAATCTCAAATGCATGCAAGAGGTATTTGACTGATATTGCGAAGACCGAAAGGGAAGCTCAAAGGGGGTGTGGTTGTTGCCTGAAAGTGGACACGTGATCCGGCGTCACTTTCCCGCGATGGAACGCGTGTGGGCACACGACCTTCACCCATCCTCTACCCCAACTCCACCCCGTCGCATTGCGCAATATTCTAGGCTTCAAAGCCAGCACCCGGACCACGCGCCAGTCCGCGGCGCTTTCCTCCGTAGACAGGTCGTAATGTGGCTATTAGAGACTGACGGTAATGTCTTCGAAGGTACATCATAATCTACCCCACTAATTGTGCGAGATGCTGACGCGATTGATGTCCAGGGCGACGGCTTTGGCTCCGGCCAGGCAAACGATATCACTTCGGCCGAACGGACTCGGAACGTATGGGTTTTGACTGGTTGAACACCTTGCACGAACTTCACTGACGGTTTGCAGCCGGACAACTGGCCATCTCTCATAAGACCATCTCGCGCAAACATCTGACCATCGAGGTTGACAATGTGTCCGACGGCGATAGCGTACGTAGGCGTAATACGATTGACTAGTGCAATAGCTGAATATCTTCCTAGCAACATCTCTCCCGCCGATCGACCGTCACAATCGAAGACTTGGGCACCAAGACCGGGACGACTGTAGACGGGCACAAATACAAGGGCGAGAAGCATGTTGTGGCCGCAGCTTCAGCAGAGATTAAGATGGGTGGCTGCCCTGACATGTTCCGGTAAGGGTCCTGTCGTTGGAAGATGCGGGAAGCTTGCTGACGATCTTCTAGCTTGACCTGGCAACCTGTGGCGCTCACGTTCAGCTTCTCAAGCCGAGAAATGCAGTCCGACCCCTTTTCGCGACTGCGTGTCGACCTTGAGCAGCTCGACGTGAAGTTGTTGGCGGATTATAACATTCAGCATACAACACACGTTGTCACAAAGAAGCGCAACACTTCCAAGGGATTGCAGGCGCTGATCAACGGAAGGTACATCGTTGCAGACTCCTTCGTGGACGCCATTGTCGCGGCCGCGACACCTCCAGAAGACGACGATATTACTGCATCCTCTGCTTTGGAAACGGACTTTGATGGCAACTGGCCAGATCCATTGAATCATCTGCCTCCTCGCGGTGGCGAGCCTGTCGAAAGGCCTCCATCCGCGTATGCGCCGGACGAGGCCCGCTTGGAAATCTTTGAGGGGTATACCTTTATTTTCTACGACAAGGGACAGTTCGATAATCTTCTGGCGCCTATCACCAACGGGAAGGGCAAGGCTCTATACACAAAGGTCGATCCAAAGTCAACAACAGTGGACGACTTCGTTCTCTACGTTAAAACGGAAGCTGGCGAGAAAGGCCTCGGTTCATTTGACGACGGTAGCGAAGGACGAGGTGTCGTAGTTGTCCGCTTCGTACCGAACAAAGGTGACGCTGTGGATTGGTATGCCGACTTTTTCACTCAGGTCTCTCTCCGACTTGATCACAGACCCATCGAACAAAACGAGTTCCTGGAGGCCATCCTCATCAAAGATGCCAGCATATTGCGCCGGCCTTTGGAGATGGACCCGACGCAGGGTCCGGCAAACACAACACCGCAAGAAGAGGCGGCAAGAGTTGACTCCAACTCAATGGATATAGATCAGCCGACTACGTCACAGAATACGCTACAAGAGTCTGCGCCCGCGCCTAAGCCTTCTGCTACCAGAAGTCGGGTGCGGAGGGCACCGACGAGACGCTTTGCTGGATTTGACGCGGATGATGATGATGACGACGCCTTCACTCCTTCAGTGGTTGAGAGCAAATCGGTCGAGGCCGAAGCTGAGGACGAAGGATTGTTTGTTTCTCAAGACGCGCACGCGTCTAACGATGTAGCCGAACCATCACCAGATACGAACAGACGATCCCAAAGGAAACGCCCTGCAGCGCAGGACGATGACATTGAGGATATCATCCCGACAGCTGCCGCAGTGAAAAGGCGAAGGATCGCCGCCGGAGAAGAGCCTGTTCCGCGAAACGAATCACCCGAGCCCGCGGAACCGGAGCCAAAGCCTGCCCCCAAGGTCAAGAAGGTGAAGAAGGAGATTGACGTTCTAGACGTCGCCCGCCAGCAGAGGGAAGCGATGGAGGCCCGCCTCAAGGCAGAGAAGGAAGATTTAGCCAATTTGCCTGAAGATGTTGACTTGGAGCAAATCCGCCGGTTGCACATCGTCGAGGAGATGCCTCTACGTCAGCCACCAGCCAACAGAAGTCACGATGAAGATGATGAGAATGGCAGGTGGGATCCACGGTGGAACGGGAGGAAGAATTTCAAGCGCTTCAAGCCGCGGGGTGAACTCACGGGGCGGCCACCTCAAAAGGTCATCGTGACCCTGACGCAAGTCAAGCCCAAGGAATTTGGTATCGGAGACGATTACTGGCTAGAGGACGACAGCCAGCGCAAGAAGAAGGGCAACGAGAGCCAGAAGAGCGGCACAGCCCAGGGCGGCACAGCCCAGGACGAGCCTGCGCCCCCGCCACCGCCACCACCTGTGTCTCGGCCTACGTCGCGACAACAGCGTGTTGTCTTGAGTGATGACAGTGAAGAGGATGACGACATACCCGATACCCAGGCTGAGCCCGCACCAGAGCCAGAGCCTGAACCTGAACCTGAACCTGAGCCGACGCCGGCGTCACGGTTGAGGAGTACGCACGCAACGACGGCTACGCAGTCACAGAACACCACGCAGAGCCAGTCGACGAGACAAACTCGCGGGAAGAGGGCCGCGCTGGAACCTGCCAAGGAGCCGCCGGCGAAGAAGCCGAGGGCCACGCGGAAAGTCATTGAAGTTGCGGATAGTGACGACAGCGAAGATGAGCTGAAGTTCAAGTTTGGCCGGCGGCGTTAAAGCGGCACAGGGAGGGAGTGTGGTAATGATGATGTATGACTTGCATTCGCGACGGGCGCTGCTTCTATTGTTAGGGGTATCTCTCTATCCGTATTCTGCTTGCACGCTCGACCTGTTTAAATACAGGCGTCTACTGCCGCATCTTGCTTGTATGTGCCTCTCAGGACCAAATCTTATGTGAACCTGAAACCAGACCATGTACATCAGTCCATCTCGTCCATCGCGCTCGGCTTCGAGCCCTCTTCCTCATCTACCAACAACCCCACGAGACACGCGGAGAGCATAGTCTCGTAATTCACCCAGGGATGAATCTCCCCAAACAACTTCGTCCCATCGCGCCCCGCGCCGCGCAGCAACTCGGGCTCGCCAGCCGGGTGGTACGGCAGATACGGCGTGATGTTGTATACCCTCCCACCCAACGCCATCCACGCATCCTTCCCCTTTCTCCCCGTCATTTTTTTCAGCATCGAGGGTGTGACTTTGAGGTAGGGCGTCGAGGGCGGAAGGTTACGCAGGTCTGCGTTGGGGCCTGAGATGCGCGCCCAGTCGAGCGGGGAGTGGCCCGGCGTGAGGATGACTTTGCGCGTTGGCTTGGGGGCCTTTGCGGAGTGCGTTGGCGGCGGCGCAAGGGAGGAGCCGAGGGAGGAGCTTCCGGGTGCCGGGCCGCGGTTCGGTACGGGGCCGCGGGCGCGTTGGGGGGAGTTCATTGCTGGGAAGGCGGCTAGGCGGGGAGGGACTGGGCCGCGGGGTGTTGGGGCTGGTGGCGGCATCATGTTGGCTGAAGTCGTTGATGGCGGAGGAGGGGGCGGCATGCTTCCTTTGCCGAGCGTGGGGCCGGAAGAGGAAGATACTGAAGAGAGTGGTGCGCCGAGGGTGGGCGGTGCCATTGCCTTTGAGGGTTCTTCAAGATTGAAGGAGGGTACGGGCGCGGCGTGAGCGGCGGGGGTTGCCTTTGGTGTTGTTTGTTCTTCGGCTTCCGGTTCGGTTACCGTGGGCGGCGCCGGAGCGGAAGGATTCGGGGATGACCGGCGGATGACCGGCGGAGCAGGAGGAGGAGGCAAAGAGACGGCGGTCCCGGTTTTGCGCGGTGCCGGTGCCGTTGCCGGTGCGGCGACGGGGTCATCGGGGAGGTTGAGCGTTGGTGGGGGAGGGGCATCGCGCGGCTGTTCCTTGGTGGAGGGCTCGGGTGCGTGCCTATTCGTGGTGGTTGTCGAGGAGGCCGTCGTCTTTGACTCATGTTGGTCGCTTGGCGGTGGAGGAGAAGAGGATTTTGACCGCGAGGAAGGTGGTAAGAGCTTTGTTTCGTTTCGCCAGGCGAGCAGGAAGGGCGGCATGAAGGGGTGTATCCATGGCGGAGGAGCGACGATGACCCAGACGAAGGAGGCGAGGATGAGGGAGACGCCGATGTAGCCCATGATTGCGACCCGGTGATGGGCCGTTGGCCACGGCGGAGGTGATGGGATGGGAGGAAGAAAAGTTGAAGGAAAGGACTAGAGAAGATGTTGAAGCGTAGTTGAGGTTGTGGCTGAATACTCAGATATGGAAGCTGCGGTTGTGGTTGTGTCTCTTTCCCATGGAGGTTCTGCGCAAGATGGGAAATCTTTGTCAGCTTGCAGCGGCTGCAACATTGACTTCGGCTTTCCGAGGCCGCTGAGTGGTGCAAGCTTTAGCTCGCGGGCTGCTAAGCGACATGGGGGGCACGGGGTTCACTGGCGGGGTTCGAGCCTTTTTCAGGCTGTTCAGTAGCATGACGCGCTACGGGTACAGTACAGTAGTGAAGAGGTGCGCAATTCAGGTGCAGTGTTCAGGAGGGAAGAGAGAATGATGAGGTAAGCGGTGCAGAAAGGGTACGTACTCAACGCTAAGGTGATTTGAGCCGGGCAACCACCCCGGGACACGGTCTGACGGGTAGGAAGAAAGAAAGAAAATAAACGAGATGGAACCACCCGGACCCCGACGCCGACCAAAACAAAAATAAGCCAGACACTACGGATACCATTCACAGTCCACACCACACCAAAAGTCAAGAGGGGGGAGGAGAAAAAAGGGAAAAAAGCAAAGAAGATCGAAAGGTGACATGTCACCGCCGCCGGGTCCCGCTAACCACTCACCATTTGCAGACTAGGGGAACCTACTGGCCGCCCCTCCACGCCCTGCCCTGCCTGTTGCTCGAATCCTCACCGATCACAGCCTACAGGGACTAGGTGCCGAGGCAGACAAGGCAGGGTTGGTGGGTTTGATGGTCATCTTTTGTGCAGGATGCCGTTGTGTTGAAGCCGCAACGCATGAATAAACAAATGCCAATCGAGATGAATGATGGGGAAGGATGGCGATAGGAGGAGCGCGAATGCATGGTCAATGGATGCAGGAATAACCACAACACACTGTCTCTATACTATACCACCAAAGGTTGAAGGACACAAGACGCGGCACAATAATAGAAGCGTGGGCCGCGGTCGTGAACGTGGTTCCTGTGGTTCCTGTGTTTCCCGGTGTTCTACGGATACCAAATCGAGGCGAGTCCGAGCTGGGGTTCTTCTGGCAGTGTCAACGATGAAGAATAACGATGTCATTTTGCATTTCTGCATCTCTCTTAATTATCGTCTCGTTCCGGACAGGCATCATATGGTTGGTTCCTTGTCTCTGCTCTTTGCCTTACCCTTTTGAGTGACACTCATTCTTCAACTCGCGCCTCCTTCTTCCCCCTCACCTTCATTCCCGCGTTTCTTTCTAACCTGAACGCGTCTACTCTTGTTCTAGGCTTAAGCACCTGACGGCACATGTCTCACATCCGGCATTACTCCTGTTGATCACGAACGCATGTTTCAATCGCAACGACGTTTGATATCGAGTCTATTCGTTTGAAATCATCTGGAACGAAACAAGGCGCAAAGACACACACCCACAACATACACGAACCAAGAAAGAAAGAGAGGCAGAGACAGACACATGCACACGACAACCTCATTCTCTGGCCCTCCTATCCACACCGAACAACTCTGACCGACGGAATTCTCCCACCGCCGGGCCACACACGAAAAGAGCATACGAAAACCGAAAGAAAAGAGATCAGAAACAGTAGCGATATTCGGCACACACCGCATCGTGGATTCGTGCCTCGTACCGGAATTACAGGCTCTTCAACAACCCTCGCCCAACCTTGCCTTCGAAAAGGGACCCCCTCAAAAACAACCCCACTGCACACACCGCAGACAAGATTGGCCTTGCGCGGGACCCCCCTTCTTCAGGTTTATTTCCAGAATTTCCAAGGGACAGCCCGGGCCAGGGGTGGACACCGGGAGAGAAAGACTCCAAGAGACTCCAGAGTCCAAGAGAGAGAGACACAAACGGCCAGGGACGAAGCCAAGCACCGCCAGGGACGTCCCAGCACAGAGGTCTTTCGTCCAATGTCTCGAGCACCACAGTCAAGTACCTTTCCCCGAACCACCACCTCCTTTTCGCAGCGCTCCCTGGGGGAGGTACTTCCTCATCTTTAGCACCAGCATCTGCAACCGCACCCGCACACCCGCACCTGCAGGTACGTACCCGCAGCCACGGCTAGGTGCTGCCCCTTCAGAAAATGCGAGCGCTCTCCTCCGTGGGCGTTGGCGGCGGCGGTGGCAGCGACACCAGCAACAACAGCAGGAGGAGCAACAACAATCTTTCGACTGCTCCCTCGGCTCCGTCTCCCTCACCTTCACCAAGGCACGCCGGCGATTCATTGACATCGCCGCCACTGAAAGGCACTCACCCACACACCACCACCACCACCACCAATACCAAGCGTCCCCAGCAGCAGGGCAACAATAAGCTCCAACAACACCAAAAACATCTCGTCGTTCAGCAGGGCAAGCAAACGCCCGACTCGTCCCGAACTAGGAGAAACATCAGGCCATCCATCTCACCCGCCACCCGCATCAACCCCGCCGCATCTGCTCATCGTCCATCATCCAACTCGTCCAGACCATCTGAGACGACGACAACGACATCATCCCGTCCATCGGCTGCTCCCTCGGGTTCCTCTGGCCCTGGTGCCTCTGCTGCTCCAACCTCTGCAACATCGTCGCCCGCCGCCGTCGCTGTCGACCGCAAACCCACGGCGGCCCAGCTCCGAACCACAAATAATCCCACATCGACTAATAACACCAATCCCGCCGCCGTCGATCGCTCACCCACCCCTACCACTGCTGCTACTGCTACTGCTGCTGCTGCCACTCCTACCACCACCACCACCACCACCACACGCCCACCACCACGGCCACTTACCGCTGCTGCCACTGGCCCACCAACGATAAACGGGCCCCGACGCATCACAGCTGCTGCCACCAGTGCCAGCACCACCAAAACAACCACCACCACCGCCGGCCCAAACACAACATCGTCACCTTCACCTCCCACCAACACCACTTCTTCAACGCCGACAACAACACCAGCACCGCAGCCCGCAACAACCCCAACGTCGACGCCACCCTCAACCTCGAGACGACAGCCACCTGCCCTGTCCTCCAGCTTGCGCACACCCCTCCGCACACGAGACCAAAATGTCCTGAACCCCTCTCGACCTGCAAACGCCGCGCGAGCGAAGCCTTCGCCTACCCCGTCGCCCACAATCGGCACATCACCAGCGTCCGCTTCCGCTACCTCAACACCCACCATGCCCCCCTACGAGAAAGGGGGCAGCACGACCTCTCGCCAACCGGCGATGCCTTCCCTCAGCGCAAAGGCAATCGGTCGAGCTCCTCTGACCCCGAAAGTCGCTGCGAAAGCTTCACCCCCGGTCGTCACCCCCATGGGTCGTCGCCGCAACGACAACACAAGTAACAACAACACAAATTACCCCACACAACCGCACATCAATGGAGGGGGTGCGAGGGACGACCTCACGAGCCCTGCGCCTTTCCTCGCCGCGAATAATATCACACCTCGCACCGGCAGTCGCCAGAGCCGTGTGAGCAGTACCAACACAACCCCGAATGGCACTCCGGACCCGGACAGGAACG